GCTCCGGGCGCTCCTCCTGCGCGTGTCCCCGGTGGAGAGCATCGCGTGTCCCGGGGGTTGGCTCTGTTCCCGCCGTACCGTGACAGTGATGATGGTACCCAGCACTCCACCTTGGGGCCTTCAGAGTTACCCAGTGTCACTCTCCTTTTCCCTTCCTAGAGAGTTTACTGCGGGCACGAATACACGATCAACAATCTCAAGTTTGCTCGACACGTTGAGCCCAATAATGTCGCTATCCAGGAGAAGCTTGCTTGGGCCAAGGTGAGCTGGTTCCTTTCCCTAGACTGATGAGATGATGTTGGGGAGAAAGAGAAGCCGAGGGACTGGAGTTGAGAGCCAGGAGCTGTGGTGTGTCCAGGGGAGCGATGTCTTGGGGAACAGGGTTTGTGTGCGGCCCGGAGAAGAGGGTTTGCTCTCTGGTGGAGACGTCACCCTCCCTGGAAACTTCTTGGTGTAATTACAGGCCGATGCTGCGTCTGCCTGGGAGGGTCAGCTCTGTCCCAGGTCGCTCTGTGTGTCCCTCGGTGCTCGTCTGTCCAGCTGTGTGCGTGGCCCTGGGCAGGGCCCGGCCTGAGGAGCAGCTCGGGCAGTTGGGCGCAGCCCTAACCCCACGGGGTTAATACACGGGACGCTTCTGGTTCACCGAAACCTTCCTCCCTGAGCAGAAACCTCTCCCTTGTTACAGGCAAAGTACGACAGTGGAGAGCCAACCATACCCTCCACCATCGCAGAAGAGTTTACGTACAACCCCTTCATGCGAGTGAGGTACGGAGGAGACGCGGGGGTGGGATGGTCCTTGTGTTTGGAGGGGGGATGTGGGAGGGAGGTCTCCAAAAAAAGAGCCACAAGCGGGAATTGCTCTCCTGCCTAGCGCATTCCTGTTGGGATGCTGTCCATAACCTCCTGAAAACATCTGCCAGCCAAGGATGAGTACAGCAGAGGGCAGTTGCTGTCCTGGCAGAAGCTTGCTGCAGGGAGATGTGAAGGGTTGTGGTTTTGAGGAGCTACTGGAGAGAGTCCAGCGGAGGGCTACGAGGATGAGGAGGGGACTGGAGCATCTCTCCTACGAGGAGAGGCTGAGGGAGCTGGGCTTGTTCAGCCTGGAGAAGAGAAGGCTGAGAGGGGACCTTAGAAATGCCTCTAAATATCTGCAGGGTGGGGGTCAGGAGGATGGGGCCAGACTCTTTCCAGTGGTGCCCAGCGACAGGACAAGGGGCAATGGGCACAAACCGAAGCAGAGGAAGCTCCAGCTGAACCCGAGGAAGAACTTCTTCCCTCTGAGGGTGACGGAGCCCTGGCCCAGGCTGCCCAGGGAGGCTGTGGAGTCTCCTTCTCTGGAGATATTCCAGCCCCGCCTGGACGCGGTGCTGTCCAGCCCCACCTGTCTGGGGTGCGTGGCAGCCTGCTCTGGGTGACCCTGCTTGGGCAGGGGGTTGGGCTGGGTGACCCACAGAGGGCCCTGCCAACCCCTGCCATGCTGGGATCCTGGGATTCTGTGAGCATCCCTGCCAGGGCTGACGTCCCTGACTCAGGAGACAGAACAAGCTTCGCGCTGTAATTACGTTCCTTCGTCAGGCAGAGTTTGGCGGACGGGCGCAGCCCAAGGCGCTGTGCACGGCCCGAGAGCGTTTGCGATTTCCTTTTGCCAGGGAGCGTTTAAGCCAGGGGAGCTGAGAAGCCCGTGCCAAAGCCCCGAATCTTTGATCTCAAGCACAACATTTCCCCTCGACGCGGGCGAAACGTGGCGGTGGTGACTTCGTGGAGGAGATGTTTATCTTGCAGCCTCTGCATTGGCTGTGCCTGGT